ATGTGAATAAGGATTCCCTGTTGGCAGCTTTGACAGTGATTTAAAGTGGCAGCTGCTGAAACATTGAGATGCTCTTTAATTAGACATATCTCTCTGATGGCCATTTAATGGTTCATTGCTCTCTACAGGGTGATGCTTTTCCAGAGCTGCGGAAGGATCCTGATATGGTAAAGGACATCATCAATGAGGAGGAGGCACAGTTCCTTAAGACCCTTAGCAGGGGACGCCGCATCCTGGACCGCAAAATCCAGAGTCTTGGAGACAGCAACACTATACCAGGTAAAGCACATAATACCACAAAGAACCCTAATCAGTATCTGTAACATGCATTTGAAAATAAAACAATCTCCAACCATTTTCCCAAATTTATAATGAAAATTGTTTATAAATCTAAGAGAAGCTTTAAGGTCTCTCTGTGTTTTTCCACCAAAATAAAAATGTAAAGAGTACATAAATACTAGTATTGTGAGTTTACCGTCGTTCTGAAAAGTAAAATTATATTTATTAAATACAGATTTATTTTACAGTACAATAGTTTTATTACTATAGTATTGTTACTGTATTATAATAATTTAATATATAATGAACTGAAAAAGTAATAATCATAATTCAAAATCTGGCCTGAGACTGAATTGTAAAGAGATTTATTTTTCTCTCAAATTTTCCTTTTTTCCCCCCTTATGCTTAAATCCACATTCTAAAGCTGTTGTTTCATTTTTTCGCCATAAATGCCACTGTTTTGTGTAGGTGACACAGCCTGGCTGCTGTATGACACTTATGGTTTTCCTCTGGACCTCACTGCCCTGATCGCTGAGGAACGAGGAATGGGAGTGGACATACAGGCCTTTGAGGATGAGAAGAAAGCTGCTCAGGTTTAAATGTTCATTCTTCCATACAGTGCAATTTCCATTTATAATTTCAGAATAATTTCACAGTTATAAAGCACACAGAGGACACTAGCAGAACTCAGTGGCAACGATATCAGTGATTAAAAATACTAATTTAATAGTACTGTTAAATGTAATCTAAGCTCTTAAAATGAAAATACTTCATATTTTCAATTATAATGTGTAGCTATATATATATATATATATATATATATATATATATAGCTACAAGGGAATTTTGAATATGTATATGAAGTTAATCTAGATGTTCAAATAGGTTAAATAGGTAAAATCCTGTATCATCCGAGATACTAATCCAATATATATCCAATATCAACGGGTAACAGTAATTTAAGTGTTTTGTATTAATGTAAATGAGTCTAATTAAAATATCTGTGCCCACAGTTGAAGTCTCAGGGCAAAGGCTCTGGGGACGAGGACCACATCATGCTGGACATCTACGCCATTGAAGAGCTCAGAAACAAAGGTGTCACTGCCACTGATGACAGCCTCAAGTACAAGTACACTTCAAATGAGAACGGCAACTATGGTATGAATTACACCTTTGCTATTCCTCTTGATTTTTACGGTTTGATTATGCGTAGGTTTTCGCGCTTGTGACATTGTGTGTCCCTCTCAGAGTTTGAACAGGCAGTGGGCACAGTGCTGGCTCTCAGGAGGGAGCGTGCATTTGTTGATGAGGCGACCACAGGTCAAGAGTGTGGAGTGCTGCTCGACAAAACCTCTTTCTACGCCGAGCAGGGTGGCCAGAGCTTTGATGAAGGCTACATGCTCCGAGAAAACGACTCTGCTGAGGATGTAAGAAACTGAGAGTGGTTGTATAAAGATGCTGAACTGCCTGATTTAGTTATGCTTCATGGTGCTGTCATGTTTTATTGTGCTGCTTCAGAGGATGGAGTTCACCGTGAAGAATACTCAGGTGCGCGGAGGGTACGTGCTGCATATTGGTACAGTATACGGCACACTGAAGGTTGGAGACCGCCTAACTCTACACGTAGACGAGGTATGTTACAGTGTTGGGAAGGTTGCTTTGGAAATGTAATGGGTTACAGATTACAAGCTATCCTATTTAAAATGTAATAAGTAGTGTAACTATTTCAGTTACTTTACTGAAGTAATGTAACTGATTACATTTGATTATTTTTGATTACGTTGAATATTCTAATGAATATTTTCAGCTGTTAATCATTTTGAAGCATTTAAACCAGGCAGGGTCAAACTTACAGTAGGACTCAACACTGATTACTGTCAGACTTCTCAAAATACTTCATCACTTGAATTAAGATTATAAAAATTAAGTTTTAAAGCACAGCCACCACAAAATTAGCCTTTAACACCTCTTTTTACTTTGAGATTGTTCTGAGGATAAATACAGATTTAAAATCATAACAAGAAATAGTTTAATAGCTATGATACTGTTTTTGAAATCAAATGTTTTCATAGCTACGACAGGAAACACTGGAAAAAAAACAGTTAATCTTAAAAAATAATGCATATACATAAACCCAAATAGGAAATAAAATAGTTGTCAAATAAGCATGTGTCCTATTCTGTGTCATAAACTCCTGAAACATTGGTGTCTCATATTTTAGAGCAGTCAATGCAATTTGGGAAAGAAATCATTCAAATCTGTATGTGTGAAAAAATTCAGATGTAACCCCTTTTGTAATCGTTAACATTTTCATAAGTATTTGTAATTTAATGACACATTTTTTTTTTCTCAGTACATTTATTTTGTAATTAAATGATGTAATTCCGTTACATGTATCTAGTTACTCCCCAACACTGTTGATTTGTCACCTTCAAAATGTTTTATAGCATCTGGTTAAGGCAAAAAAGAGAGATGACTTGACACATGAATAGGATATTACATAGAATGCAACATAATTCCCCTATTTTTCTCTCTCAGGCTCGTCGTAGGCCCATCATGAGTAACCATACCGCCACGCACATCCTTAACTTTGCCTTGCGCTCAGTGCTGGGAGAGGCAGATCAGCGAGGCTCTTTGGTTGCTCCAGACAGATTGCGCTTTGACTTCACAGCTAAAGGAGCCATGAGCACAGATGAAGTGCGGCGCACAGAAGAGATCGCCTCAACCGTGATTCGTGATGCCAAGGTCAGGCCCATTCAACAGACTTGCACACTTCAATCAAACACTTCGTATTCATATTGCTTGAAACCGTTTTGACATGTTGTATTCACAGTGCAGATATTCTGAAAACAGAACAATTAAGCTCTTTTTCAATACGTTAGTTGAATACAGATATACAGTTTACGTATCCCTGAGAACACTTGTATTTTTTTCATATTTTGTCTCGCAAACTGAAATGCTCTGTATATGTTTTTCATCAGCCGGTTTACGCCCTGGATTCCCCTCTTGCAGCAGCTAAAGCCATCCAAGGTCTGCGGGCAGTGTTTGATGAGACGTACCCTGATCCTGTTAGAGTGGTGTCTATTGGCATCCCAGTGGAGGAGCTGCTGGCTGATCCAAACAGCCCTGCAGGCTCACTCGCCTCCATCGAGTTCTGCGGCGGAACGTATGAACATCAAATTTTAATATTATAAACTTTTAGTATTGCAGAAGTAGGCCCTCTGGGCTCTAGCAGCACATCTAGTTTTCTGTGAATATGATCACTTTTTATGTAATATTCAGAAGTTTGTCCTGTCTATGCTTTATGGATAAATTATGAATAATGAATGGAAAATTTAGATTAGTAATGTTTTTTGTTAATGGAATCAAAATGTTTAAGAAGGCAATATTTTTTTTTCTGTTTGTTCATTTTTACCCATAGGCACTTGCAGAACTCTGGTCATGCCGCACCATTTGTGATCGTATCAGAGGAGGCCATCGCTAAAGGGATCAGGAGGATTGTGGCAGTGACTGGAGCAGAGGCTCAGAAGGTTAGAGGAGGCAGGGCCAACATGAATATGCACACTTTTTGTTTTTAACTGATACTTTAGTATCTGATTTAGGGTTGGGAATGTATAACCGGTTTTTGCTGTCTGATGTGAATGTGATATGAAATAATACAAGGATTAAATATGTCTGTTGTGTTTTCTTGCTGTTTGCACGCACAGTCTGGCTAGTGTAGTTTGATTGACAAACAAATTATTCTTTTGAACCAGTTCTATTCAACAAATCAATCATGAAGACTCACAGAGAATGTGCTTTATAATTGTGAGAGCTAATTCAGTGTAATTATTAACTGATCATTCATGTAACAACATGTAAATACACATTTTAAGATACTTTTTTAGTACAGTATTTTAGGAATTATTGGTGGGTAAATCATTTAGGAAGTTCCTAGATTCCCATTTCTAATAGTTCTTGACAGATTGATGTTTGTGTTGTCAGGCCCAGAGGAAAGCTGATGCACTGAAGCAGGAACTAGATGCCATGGCAGAGAAAGTGAAAGCTCAGACCTCCCCTAATAAAGATATTCAGAAGGAGATTGCTGATATGACAGAGGTGAGCTCCGCTCCGACACATTCTGCTCTCACCTGTCTAGAATCAGTGGTGTGTCTGTTTTTACCCATCGAAGTATAACTGGATCAGTGTATGCATATATATTCAGGCCCTGGGCACTGCAGTCACCTCTCAGTGGCGGAAGGATGAAATGAGGGATTCCCTGAAAGGTCTTAAGAAGATCATGGATGACCTGGACCGTGCCAGCAAGGCTGATGTACAGAAGAGGGTAAGAGAATATGATTCTGTTGTCTGATAGTTAGTCACTGAGGTTCTTGGAAAGTCAAAGACCCAACTGTGAACACATTATATTTTAATTTTAGGTCCTGGAAAAGACAAAGGAGATCATCGAAACAAACCCAAACCAACCTCTGATTGTGATGGAGATGGAGAATGGGGCATCTGCAAAGGTAACTCTCTCATTGTCTTTTCAAATTACGAGTCTATACTTGAACTGAATTTTGTTCTTGTCTGCAGTGAAAGTCTTAATGATTTGTCTGTGCGTCCACAGGCTTTGAATGAGTCTCTGAAGCTGCTGAAGACAAATTCACCACAGACTGCTGCTATGCTTTTTGCTGTGGACAACGATGCGGGGAAAATTATCTGCTTGTGCCAAGTGCCTCAGGTAAATGTGTTAGAGAGGACCTTATTCTGTAAGACGGCTGAGGGCTCCCTTAAAATATTTAACCAGATCTACTTTAAAACATAAGATTTTCTTGTTGTGAAAAAAAGAATACTTTGAATCTGCAAGGACACATTAAATTGAACAAAAGCGAAGACTTTTACATACATAATTGCTGTTCTTTTGAACTATAAATTCATTAAAGAATCCTGAAAAAAATGATCAGTTTACACAAAAAATATTAAGCTGCATAATGGTTTTCAATATTGATGATAAGAAATGTTTCTTCAGCACAAAATCAGCATATTACAATGATACTGAAGGATCATGTGACACTGAAGACTGGAGTAATGGCTGCTGAAAATTATTAAAATGACTGACCCTAATTGTTTGAATGATGAAATATTGAAATGAAGTATTTTTCAATGAGTAATAGCTCGCCTTTCCTCTGAAAAACTTTGCTATACAGCCAACCTCCAGAAGTAAAATGTTTCAGATTCCATATTTTGTTCGTTTCACATTTAATGATGGTTAAATTATTACTTTGACTTGCATAGTACTAGACACAATAATGCATATGTAAAGTATCAATTTAAATTCACCAATGTATGTGCTCTGATTGTATTCCCAGGATGTTGCAAACCAAGGCCTGAAGGCCTTCGAGTGGGTTCAGGAAGTGTGCCCTCTGCTGGACGGAAAAGGAGGTGGTAAAGACATGTCTGCCCAGGCCACGGGTAGAAACACACACTGCATACAGGAGGCTCTACAGCTGGCCAATGAGTTTGCCCGCCTCAAACTGGGTGAAAATGAAGGAAAGAGAGAGATAGCATTGTAGGTGAGATTTATCTGGATAGAGGTCCTTAGTTTGGTCTTAACCTTCTTCCTGTCCTGTTCTAGCTCTGCTTGCTAAATTTTCAAACTGGACATTCCAGGGCAGAAAATGTAAAAACTGTACAGAAATGTCATTTGTCAATTATGAATAGGAAGGGAAATATACAGTGCCCGCTCTTGGTAAACTTGGGCATTGCATATGTGTTAACTGATCCATCAAACCGTCCTGACTCTCTCTGATGCAAAGCACATGGGCTGTGCATGCTTTCTGATTGGATTATTACATGTAGATTCACAGTTAAATGTTCTGCTAGCTAAAATCACCCTCATGGTCATTGTTATCATTAGGAGCATATGATGAGGAAGAAAATTGTCATTATCACGCTATTTGAAAGTGTCTTTTTATCCTAAGAGTTTCCATTACATTTGTAGAATTGTTGGTCTGTCTCTTTTCATTCAAAATTCATTCAAAAATTCATGTCAACACTGTTAACCTTTAACTAGCTCTTCTAGCATCTTTTTTGGGGGAAACTAGCCATTAATCACCTGTCACATGAAATCTATCACTTGATAATGGTAATAAAAAATGGTTTCAAATGCATAAATGACTTTTCATTGTTGTGTGGAGTCGTGTATGTTTGAGCATGTGTATAATTGTTAACTGAATACACTATCTGGTGATTTTTGTCAGCTCTAACTACACGAATCAATCAAATTCAGGTTAACTATAGAGATCCATAACTGTCATGGTACTATTATTACATTCTTGCTTACAGGTGCACAACCATGTGAACATATTTTGAATCACTATAACATTCTTATTATACGATACATTCTGAACTCTTTTAAACCTTTTCATTTAAAACGATATGCTTGTTGCAATTTCTATAAATGGGTGTGACAGACTTTCAGACATATGCTCCAGTCACAAACACATAATTATAACTTTACACAATGACTAGAGGACAAAAAGGATGGAAATAAAGAGCTACAATGAGTCATTGCTTAATCAACTTAAAGTTTAGCTACCTTTTAAAATTTTGATTATCAGGATGGAAAGTTTTAAACTTATATCACAAAACATCACAGAATTCAACATGTTTATGCTGTTTTTTAAGTGATATAAAAGTACTGGATGGAAAGTGATATTGAGGGCATCAAACTTTTTAAACATTTTTTTAATGCCACTGTTTCCACATTAGAAGCTGCAAAGCACGTAAACCATAGTTGTAAAAATGTATCCATTTGTTCATATACTGATAAAAGAACATAACTTTAATAAAATCCTAAATTCAATACTGAAGTTGTAATGAAAATGTACTGCATCAAATAAAGCAGCTCTGACAAGGAGCAAAATTGTGTACTTGTTTACCAATGTCCTTGGACACAAAGAGCCAAACCATTTTTAAACATCTTTATTTCTTACAGTAGCATAAAGATAAAAACAGTCCAGAATTACACAAAGACTGAGGTTGTGGAAGGAAAGAGAGCACTGACCAATAATCACTATATCAACACTAATGAGAAGTTAATGAGAGCAAACACAGTGGCACAGCGAGGATATGTACAGTCTGTGCTGAAGAGGGTTCCTTCATGATCAACAGGATTCAACATTAAGTTGAAAGTGGAGTCTAAATACTGTAGTCTCATTTTTAACTTCATGTTGGGTTTTTTTGCTGCCATTTTATTGTATTTTATTAATTATTTCTTCAAAAGGAATAGGTAGATCTATTGTAAAGCCTTTCAAAAGGGTCAAGAAAAAAAAAAGAAATTGCATCATCCACTCAACATATCTATCCAGGAGGCACAATCATGTGTAGCTATGATCGTGGAAAAAGCAGCAAAGAAAACAAAAAACAAAGCAGTTTAGTCTTAACAGGCTCTGGAATATTCATCTCACTCAGTACTTTACAGCCTTCAACTTTGCATCCTATAATCCTACAAACAATTCAAGAAAAGATGATACAAAGTCCTAGAAAAAGCTCTCTCAATGTGACAATAAGGATCCACAAAGACCGATTATTTAGTGCTGAGAACGTCAGCAAGAAGAGCATAAAGAAACAAGCCAATTTGGAATTGATCTCGTCATGCAATTTGGCCACAGAACATTTCAAATGGAGAGAACAGAGAAGGTGGACATATAGTCTTTCATAAATTGTTTGAGTAGATTTGCCTGAATATCACTCGGCAGGCTACGATCCTCCTGTGGCACGAAAACAAGAAGAGAAACATCCCTCCTCGCCAACTAGAAACATCTAGGATTAATGAATACTGTTAAGAGTAATACAAGAACATCACGAGCCAATTTATTTACCTTAATCCATATTTTCTGCGCAATACATAAACATCAAACAACAAAAACAAGAGGATTAGTAATGGGATAAAACTCTTTGGTGACCAACTGCGCATCTCAATATTCTACATATGAGAGGGCAGCCATCCTATGTATCCGTGATATTAGAATTTCACTGTGAAACGCCCAATAATAATCCCTCAGAATAGGCTTAAATATAATAAAGCCACTGCAGCACAGTGCATTTAATATTCACCCGGTATATAACCGTCAAAAAAAAGACATTTACGCTTTATTGACAATGTATAAAAGCACTCGTGCGCCGCAGGTCTGGATTTTCTAAGGACAGGAGACTTTTCAGAAGTGACAGTGAATGCAGGTAGGTAGCTCTTAAAATCAAGAGGGGAGAAGGTTTTCAGGTGAGAGCTTTTCCCACCCTGATCCCGAAGGCACGGCGCTCAGCTTAGCTCAAAGAAGAATGGTGAGGTGGTGGAGCACGGAGAAGCCGTGAATCGTGTGGGTGGAGGACAGCTGGTGGGTAGACGATCCGTGCCCTATTTTAGAGCCCACATTTGTGTGAGCGCGAATGTGTGTCAATAAATGCTCTGTAAGAAGACTAAAGGAACAATAGCACGTGTTTATGCGTCTTAATGAGGTTAACTGTGCTCTGGAGTGAAGACATGTCCAGAAGCGAGGACAAGGCACGCAAGCATGTAACACGTGTGCATTTACACACTGAAATAGCTGATATGTCTACATTTTGAAAAAGAACTACTGCACCTGAAACTTAGACTTGGCCAAAGCAGAAAGCTACAGACGTAGTGATGGAAAAAATATGAGATTGAAAGAAAATATATATTTCAGTGCTTTCGTGTCACAATTCTTTTGTTTGAACGCAAGTTTCTCGGGGGAACACCAACGTTTTATGAGAGAACGCAAGATAATTGAAATATCATTTCTGTTCCCAGAGAAACTTTGCATTCGCTTACAAAACTTACGTTCGCTCGCAAAACTTGCGCATTTTCCAGAAAAACTTTTTATTTTTTTAGTTCACACATAAACGACTCAAAAGTTTTGCAAGCTAGGCTAACACAAAGTTTCTTGGAGGAAGGCAAACAATTTACAACCTATCGCAACCGTTTTGCAGAGAAAACACAAAACATTTACAAGACAACATAAAAGCACTAAAATATAATTAATAATATAAAATAACGTTTTTTTCCGCTTGCAAAACCTTTTAGTTCTTAGAGAGTTCACTCACAAACAACTCAGAAATTTTGCAAGCTAACGCAACGTTTCTTAGGGGAACGCAAATATTTTGCAAAGTAAAGCAAAGTTTCTCTGGGGAACACAAATATTTTGCAAGGTACTGCAAAGTTTCTCAAGTGAACAATTTGCCAGCTAACACAATGTTTCTTTGGGGGAATGCAAAAATTTGCAAGAGAACGCAAAAGCATTGAAATTAAATTTTACTCCCATCTCGTATTCACTTTAAGGTGGGTAAGCGATTTTTCAAAAACACTTTAGAAAACTGATTCGGGCCGACAAGCAAAACAAACTTGTAGCCAATCAGCAGTAAGGGGCGTGTCTAATCATGATGTGGAGGAGAGAGCGTTCAGTGCACGGGACTGACATTAGCGAGCCAAGCGACAGAAAGATAGAGATGGCGGATAAAAAACAAAAGAGGAAAACGTCTGCGGAACAAAAGAAGGCTTAAGGCAATAAGGCAAGAAGTAGGACCCGTGTAAATATCGGATCAGCTTTCCAGCGCTGGAGAGAACTCAAGGAGCGGAAGGCCTGCAATCGGACGCCGAGGTTGCTTTGTTTCTTCTCGATAGGTGAGTAACACCGTGTCTGCGCCGCAACAGCAAAAATCTGTCTAGTACACCGGACGCGACAAAGCGACTGTTGAAAATAATTTGAAATTTGTGTAAATACGTCATAAATAGAACGCAGCAGCAGTTTTCTGCCGCATCCAGTGTAGACCATAGATATGTATATATATCTATGGTTGTAGACCGCATCACTGATTATAATGAGTTCATCGCTTACCCCACCTTTTAGGGGCTCCGTAGAAAGCACTTGTCGTTCAAGCGGATCTTTCTGCTTATCCTTCGTATGGTCTAAAACATTTATAATGTAATAAATTATGCAAGGAAAACTATACAAATTTGACAATAAATATAAAAAATCACCTATTGTTGATGGTAAATGACTGAACAGCAGCAAAGGAGTGTCTACATGACTTCAAGAAAACACTTATCAATGAATTCCACCAGAACTTAGAGATCTGTCTGTCAGCTAGTCATAAATTGTATCGCAATACATCAGGCTTCATAAATTAAAGCTTATATTCAGTTTCTCACAATCGAATACTTGTTTTCTGTCGTTTTCCATTATATAACACTATTACGTTAAATTTAGTAGTGTGCTGAAGATCAACAAAGAAGCTCTACCACTGTTCACAGTGCATCTCTAGAACTAGCACCACAACTTTAGTAGCGTTGGTTTCTAAACATACTCCACATGTACTTAATATATTGCTCATATGTGTTCATATTGGACTGCGTCAGTGGTTTTAGTTCCTGGTGTCGAGTATCGGTCCATCTTTCTCAGACCAGAGGAACGATCAGTACTCAAACGTAATTAGTAAAAACGAACGAACCAAAAAAACAAGGTTGTTCAGACTGCTGTGCGCACACAGTGATCACAAACTGTTAGCATGATCATTTCAAACACGAACAACGAAACATAAAATATCTCGTAAGACAAAATAAAGCTCGGTTTAACAGCACGAACTTGGAAGTCCACTCAGCCACATGCGCCTGGTGACGTGAGGAGTATAACTGCAGTGCTATAACACTAGTGAAACAACCCGCCACTATCCAAGCTTTCAGTTAAAGGGAAAGTTCACCCAAAAATGAAAAATTTGTCATTTACTCAACTTCATTTCATTCCAAACCTGTATTCTGTCAAGATAATGTAGCAAAAACTACTTTGGACCCATTGACTTCAATGACATAAACAGTTCAAACATTCTTCAAAATATCTGAATGTAGAAGACAGTAAATCATGCAGGATTGGAATGACATGAGGTGGAGTAAATGATGACAATTTTCATTTTTAGGGTCAACTATCTCTTTAACGAATCAACAGAGAACTACTAGAGTACTATGATACACTATGGTGATTGTTGGTCTCACTCATCTACCTGGCCTCGGCATGAGATAAGAGTTCCCGCATCATCACTATTCAACAAAAGTCATAAATATAAGCCAAATCCATTCCCAGCACATATACCTAACATGCTGTTTAGTGGTGAGATATTAGTGTTCCTTGCCAAGTCAAGTTCCTTGTCCTAGTTGAGGTAGGCTTGCAAGGAAAAGCACATTAGTACATTTAGTACTAGCGTCTCCTCTCAAAACCACCACATCATGAGGGATGCTGCCCAGAATCCTGTCCACTCGGGACAGCATAGAATGGTAATAAGATCATGAAAAATTACTTCTTGATCACGTTTAACAGGCACACTAAGTGTGTCAAGTGGATAATGGGTGGTTTTGTTTATGGTAGTCCATCAGACGGTCCATTTCTTTGCACATGGTGCCCAGATTCACTTTCCAGGAAAGACAGAGATCTTGTCAGCTTTGGCCAGCTTGTCAATGATCTGGGCCTCATAGTCTGCATCATGGACACCTGTTTTACGAAACTCTCCAGAATAGCGGTTCTGCTCCCAATAGTGGTGCCAGTTTCCCCTGCTGTCCGCCCCAAAACCAAATACATTCACCTATGGAGAAAGACACAGAAATGAAGTCACTGTCAGAGCTTTAAAATGTAAATAAAATGTAACATTTAAAATTTGTATTTTTTTTACATATAAAAAGCTAAAAGCTTTTTTTAAACATTATAAACAAACGCTATATACACACATATTCTTTATATATTATTTATAATATAAATGTAAGTAGTTCACACTAAAGATCAAAAGATTAGGTCAGTAAGTAAGTTTTTAGTCAGTAAGAAAGTAATACTTTTATTC